CTCCCTCCTTATCCCTCCAGCCCCACCCCGTGACCCCCTCCTTGGCCCCCCATATCTCTCCTTGGGCCCCCCTCCGTGGCCCTTTCCATGGCTCCTTGGGCCCCCCTCCGTGGCCCTTTCCATGGCTCCCCCAGCCCCATCCAACTGCTCCCTCCGTATCCCCTCCAGATCCACCCCATGGCTCCCTCCTTGCCCCCCTCTCAGCCCACCCCCTGTCCCCCTCTTTGTACCCCTCCAGGCCCATCACATAATTCCCTCCATGTCCCCCCCATCTCACCCCATGGCTCCTTATCCTCCCAGTGCCACCCCATGACCCCCTCCATGGCCCCATAATCCCCCCCCATGGTTCCCCCCATATCTCCCTTAGGCCCATTCCCTGTCCCCCTCTCTGTCCCACTCAGTCCCACCCCATGACTCCCTCCATGTCCCCTCCATGTATCCCCCAAATCCCTCCACGTCCCCCCCTGAGCCCCAGCAGTACTTGGGACCCTTATAAAGGCTTTGGGGTGAGGAGACAGGGACACACAGGGGCCTGTCCTTGTCCCTGTCCCCAGGAGATGGGGCTGGAGAAGCATCTCAGGAATTCAATCCAGGTGGGCACAGTGCCCCCCCAATCCCATGTCCCACCTCCGTGGCTCCCGCGTCCCTCGCTGTCCCCGGGGCTGGTGGCACTGCTGGTGACAGCTGGTGACACGTGGGGTGGCCCCAGGTCACTCCTGGAGCCCAGCCTGGATCAGCTGCCTGGGAGAGCAACAAACACCCCGGGAGCGCTGGGTGTTCCCGGCCCTGCCCCCTGCTCGGACAGGGGGGTTCCTCTCCTGTTAAATGCTTCTGTTTTTAAGGAATGTGGAATCTTCCATGGATAAGGAAGAGCTGTGGGTTACTGGGAGGTGTGTGGGATCATAGGATCACACACTGGTTTGGGTTGGAAGGGACCTGAAGGATTATCCATTCCCACCCCCTGCCACAGGCAGGGACACCTTCCACTGTCCCAGGTTGCTCCAGCCTCGCCTTGGACACTCCCAGGGATGGGGCAGCCACAGCTTCTCTGGGAAAACCTGTGCCAGGGCCTCCCCACCCTCCCAGGGAAGAATTCCTTCCTAATGTAACCCACAGTCACATGCACCCCATGGAGATCCACCCCCACATCCCTCCATCCCGGGTTTGTCTCCTTTCCCAGATTTTTGACCCTCCGGAGGAGCTGGAGCGGAAGGTCCAGGAGCTGGCGGAGCTGATCCGGAGCTCCTCCAATGTGGTGTTTCACACAGGGGCAGGAATCAGCACGGCCTCGGGGATCCCTGACTTCAGGTAAGGGGATGGCACCTCCTCCAAGTCCATCTTCCAGCTTGGAAAGCTCTTGGAAAGCTCTGGTTTGCCCCAGCCAGACCTACTCCATCCATCCATCCCTCCATCCATCCATCCATCCATCCCATCAGTCCTGGATCCAGCTGTGAACACCTTTTTCACACCTCCCTGATGTTCAGCTCTTCCCACAAAATCCCCCCGTGTGCTCTGCTTGCATCAGCCACCGAAATCCTGGTGGTCCATGACCTCCATTCCGCAGGGCCTGGCTCATCCCACACGGATGGGGCCTGAGCTCTCCCTTCTCCCTCTTCCCCTCTTTCTGCAGGGGCCCCAATGGTGTCTGGACCATGGAAGAGAAAGGGCTCTCCCCAAAATTCGACACCACCTTTGAGAATGCCAGGCCCTCCAAGACTCACATGGCGCTGCTGGGGCTGCAGAGGGTCGGGATCCTGAAATTCCTGGTCAGCCAGAACGTGGATGGCCTGCACGTGCGTTCGGGATTCCCACGGTACTGCCCCCGCCTTTCCCAGCCCCGTGGAAGGGATTTGATTCCCGAGGAATCTGATAGGGGGAGTGAAAGCTGGAAGGGGATGGACCAGCTGGAATTTAGAGGCTGTGGTTCGAATCCAGAGGGTGGTGGAATGGAGTCGTCCTCGGTTGTTGCTCCCTGGAAATGCTTCTTGTGCGCAGGAAAAACAGGTCATGGAATTGTAGAATCCCAAAACGGTTTGGGTTGGAAGGGACCTTAAATCCTATCT